CCCTAAGAACTCACGAACGGTATGTCGTATGACCACCAAATTTTCAGAGAATGGTTTACTAGTGAAACTGTATCATATCTACAATTTTTATGTCGTTATGACGTAATATGACGTCATTATGACGTCATTAATGTGATTGTATTGGCCAAAACCGTCTAAATAGGTTTTTCCCTGAAAACTAAATGGTATTCAACATAACTGTACCAAAAGTGTTTATGACAGAATATTATGGTGTACTAAGTCTTATGTTGCCCATAGCGACACCGGTGACGTCATAAAATGACGTCATGCATATTTAAGATATCCGCCATCTTGGATCATCAATCTTGAATTTTCAAAAATAGTTTTTTTTCATGATAAAGCCTGAAATACATTGTAAACATACTAAAGACCTTCATTTAAACATTTTTTGGAAAAAGAAATGGAAGTATTGATGAAATTTTAATGAAAATAACCTGTATATATCTGTTCTAATGATATGGTCCGCCATCTTGGATTTTGGCCAATGACGTCATCAAATTAGCATAAATTATCATATTTAATGATAAAATTTACATAAAATTATATAGGATGTTATTAATATTAAAACCATGAGTAACTTGACATAAAACCCATAAAATTCTATTGTTGAAACAAAAAGTACTAAATTTAGCAAAAAATGCCTGTCAGGAACCCGTTGCCATGGCAACACAAAAAACTATTATCTTATTCCAATGATAGAGAATTGTTGCCAACAATATTCTAGGAAAAGTCACTAAGTTTGGCCGTTCTACGGCTAGCCATTCAGACGCTAGGTGACATCAAAGTTGCCGCGGGCACTTTTAGCCCCCCCCCCCGGTCTAGGTAGGGTTAAGCTTCCCCACAAACATGGACCCTATCAGATACAAGTGCATTTTATATCTAAGGCTGCAGTAATAACATAGGCCGCAAGTGTCCTCGTTGCAAATGTCCTAAAAAGTTATTTGTACTAAAATAGCTACTAAATTACAGTATTTCCATGGCCCCTTTTGGCAGTGCACAAGCTACAAATGTCTGGTGGATTATCAAATCATTCACTAACTTGTAACAAAAGTATATATAGCTAAGAAATAGACGCTATCAAGTTCCAAAAACTCTTGGCATGCATATTCTATATATTTCTTGATAACTTATCAATGACATTATCTAAACAAGGATTACGTCCTTACCAGATAAAGAATTTTGATTCTTCACGCAGACAAATTTGCAGTCTTCTGGAAGTTCATGATCTCATTGCTCCTGGAAGTTGTGCACCAAATCTTTACTAACTGACTTAGGCCATGCATTATGGATGGTATAATGTAATTTGGACAAATTACTTCGATCCTCCAGCCGAACTAATGTGTTCAGCTTTCCCCGAGGGCCGTAGAAGGCTTTCATTTAGGGCCTGGGTCTATGGGTGTGCGCGCACTGATACACACTGAATCAGACTGTAAACTGCCATATAAGACGTTTGCATACCTTTTCCTGTATGCAAAGTAGAATTCAAACCTCCGAGGCTATTTTCGTCTCTAGTGTCTTGGTGAAGAAGCGATGGTACTGAAGGAGCCTGTGGCCTACCAGACTTCCAGTCGAGCCTCTATACCTTCTGGGATCAACATGTTTACATGCATAAATACTCTCTTTCTTTCTGCATTCTTGGTATTCACCACGATTTCACAAGGTACGTGTATTCCTTCCGTGATGAAAATTTTTGGTATTGTTTTTGTAAGCCAATGTAGAGGGACTATATATAGAGAGCCATTACCAGTGCATTCTTATGATATGGTATCTGTGCATGGTATAAGTGGAACGTGTTCTGCTTGATACACAGACATTGCCTAGGAGTGGTTCTTGTTAAAGATTATAGCACTGGGGGTGCTCTATGTATGGTGTTTTCGTCTTTTGTACTTTTGAGGTAACGTCCATGTAAACCTGTGTGGCCAACAAGACATTGATACTAAGATTTCTAGCAGGTTGTTGATATTACAAGTAGATGCTGGTGCAATTTCCTGGGGTATGACGTCCTGCTTCTGTTTATTGCAGATTGTTTGTATACGTTTAAGTTTCATGGTTGAAATTTCTGTACTGTTTGTGTGAGATTATAGTTGGGATGTGGCTACAACGGTAAGTTTTCTGGTCGTACACAAAATAATCCCCTGCCGGAAACGCACATCCTGACCATCAGACTCCCATGTGACGAGTTGGCCGCCGACGTTAACACACTTCTATCTAAAGTGCTCTCTTTTTCTGCTGAACGGAGATGGCTAGCGGATCAATTGCCACATGACACAGTAGTATATAGTCGACACGCTGCTATCATTTATTCAGGCGGTGCAGGCGGTGCGAGGCGGTGCGGGTCAGAGGTCACCGTCATTATGCTAAGGATATGCAGATTTATGTTAAGGATATGCAGATGCGTGCAGGAATGTAGCTAATGAGCTAAATTACAGGTCAGATAAAGGTCAGTGTGCACTTTTGAACCCGGTTACCTGGGTAACCTGTCGTGGGCGTGGTTAACGTCAACGTCTGTGGTAGCTGATTGGCCGCATGGCAAGCGTTGGTGACTTGCTCTGAGGATCCGGAGTAGTCGATTGGTTTGCATGTACTTTGCATGTAAACTAGGTGACGTACTTCACGGCGATTGGTGGACGGTCTGTGGGTGTCTGTCAGAAAAGTGTATAAAGTGGCAACAGAAACCGGCGAGAAACCAGTCCCACTTGCGGAGACAAACC